GTGTCCGTCTATATCTGGGATCTTCCCTCTCCTGTGTTGTCCCTCCACCTTTGCAAATATGATGTCCTTCTCCAAGGACTGGTTTCTCCTGGCCACATGCCCAAAGTATTCAAAATCCTTGCCTCTGAGGAGAAATGTGGTTTCACCCTCTCTAAGACAGATATGCACCACCTCCCCCAACTTGTGAATGATCTTCTGAAATGCTGAGTTAAACAAAAACTTTTTTCTTTAATCCCTCTCAATCTCTTTAATATGTGTGATTTTCTAAGGGTTGGAATGAGTAGTATTTCCCATCTTTATTAATTAGCTTCTTGGTCAGTTAAACTTGTCATCTTATCCCAGAGCTAATGTTTCTGTCTTTTCTCTCTCTTTAAATTACTTATCCCAGAAAAAGCAGTTCAGTTATAAAAACAGGAAATTTTCTCTAAGTAAAACCCAACAGAGCTACATGAAGAGAATGGCAATTCTAAAACAATGGGGAAAGAGAGAGCCTTTAGCTTTTAGTCTAGCCTGAATATCGTGGGAGGAAGAGGCTGCCCCCGCCCAGTTTTACTCTTCTCTGTGGATCTGTTGGTACAGTTGAAGCTGTATGTAGCAGAATCTGAACAAGGGAAAAATCACACTAAAAGTTTTTAACAAACATATTTCTTTAAGTGGATTTCCCCTCTGCTTTATAAAATAAATTAAGGCAACAGAAAATAACAACTAAGAATCTACCTAAATAGTTGAACTCAGTTCAGGATTAATATTTTTAGTATAAACCATATTTGGTAGAATAGAACTCTTCGTTGAAATGTCTTCCTAATGACCGAAATGTTCCATGATAAGGAGTTGTAATGCCATCTTTTGGACAACAGTTTGAGCCTACCAGCTGTTCCATGGGAGAAAGATGGACAGTCTCCTTCTGTGCAATTAACTGCCTCCTAAAACCTGCTGGAGGGTCAGCTAAGGGTCAATTCCAATTGCATGGTATACAACAATAACAGTAAAAAAGATAGTCTTTCAAAACATTCTAGAAAAATAGAGGTGAAAACATTGTGGAGAACAATTTAATGACATTTGAAAGAGAAGAAGAATTCTTTCAAGAAACATTGTCATAAGTTAGTCAACCATGTAGAGAAAACAGGTGATATTTTTCAAACCAGAAGGAAAAAAGTTAATATGGAGACTTTTCCAAAAGCCATTTCTGGAACCTCCAGTTCTCAATCTCAAGCCTACCTTTCTCTTTAACAAACTGTCTCCTGAAGGGTTAAGAAACCTTAAGCCAAAATATTGTAGAAATCAGATTTTCATCCTTCGCTAAATACAGAGGTATGATTCATTTGCATAAAAACAACCCCTGGAATATTTCTTGACTTTATCTTGAGATCATTTCATCTCTGTGAGTAGAAACGGCAAGGATAATCAGCCCACTAGGACTAATTTTAGTCGCTAAAACTCAAAACTCAATGCTGTTGAATCAGAATCAAATCTTCGTTGACCCTCCAGAGAGTTTTTAGAGGCTGTAAATTCCATGAGATATTTCACATTTTTCTCCTGCAAAACATCTGGTAGATTTGAAATACCTCCCTTTGGATTGGCAGTTCAACTCTTTACCCTCTAGCCATCAGAGTTTCCTAATTTTAGTCAATTAAGAGCTAATTGATAAAATTAAGGAAATATCTTAAGTGAGAAATTGTTTAAGCAGGTAAATACTGGGACTTATGAGCCTTTTATTGTAGTTTTGGAAAGACATTAAAAAATGAAGGTTATGAATTCCTGTGGAACTAAAAGGAATGAGGCCTTTAAACAGAATCCTCAAGAAATTATTAATGATTCTAAGTAGGAACTGTGCTGCCAGCCCAGAGGCACATGGCTTGAATCCATCAGCCTCTTGGGAACAAGGTGAACAGTCTCCTCTTGTGTGATTCAGCTACCTATGAAAACACTGGAGGATCAGCTATGACTCGATTCTGACTCAACAGTACACAACAACAACAAAATGGAGCCTGAGGATAGGGCTGAGTTCTGTGAGTTTACTTTTTAAAGGATGCATGCAAGACACAGATGATAAGGTATAAATGTGGAATAAATTTCGCATTTTGTTATGAATACTATTAGGAAGACTAAAGAGCAGGATGAATTACAATGTAAAAATTTAATAAAGGTAACTTCTTTCGAAGGTACATTGAGAATTTATTACACTGTTGCTTGAGGTTTGCAGACAGGTCATAATAGCAGCTTGGTTTAATCAACAACATAGAAGACTGTTTTATTAAATTTTTCTGTTTTCTGTGGAAAGGTGGTTTGTAATATAATTAGATAAAATGTGTAATAATTGAACTGTTTACTGTTGGAAGGATGGTCCTGTGTTGTCAGGGTTTTGCCCAGTCTTGGTCAGTTTGACCTTTTAATCAATTGTTTAACTCTTGGCATATCTTGTATGTTTCTGAAATTGTGTACATACTATAAGAGAAATGGACCTTAACCTGATTTCATTTACTCTGTCGTCCAAGTCCTACCCTTCAGATTAAAAATTCACTTACTCAAAGATAAAATGCTAGTTTACAATCTTTGGAGAACTTAAAAGTATGGAACAAGATGTCTACCAAAAACATTATGAATAGTAGCAAGAATAGAATACTCACCTGTCATACCGTAGCCTGAATGTTGAATTCTGTTCTAATGATGGCATTGGAAGACAACATTAAGATATCTAGAGTGGACTCAGATATACCATAAATTATCTAGAGGACAGTGTTTCAGGGAACCCCAAAGAATGAAGGATCTTAGGATTGTTCTAGAGAATACAAAATATAGGGAAGAATTTTATTACCGGTCTTCAAATATTTGGAAATACTATTAGAAATTTATAGACTTCTCTAGTAGATCTTTTTTTAACTCAACTTTTGGCTAAAACTGTCGTTGAGTGAATTGCTTCAAGAAGTTATGTTACTACTACTTGTGGATGTTGTAAAAGGGAAAGACATCCTAAGTTAAAAAGCAAAAATATATTTTTTTACCCGTCCTAGTAAATTGTAATTTGTTTGTTGTTATTATGTGCCGTCGAGTTGCTTGTGACTCATAGCGATCCTATGTACAACAGCCCTAAACTCTGCTCTGTCATGTGCAAATCGCACCGTCTCTGACACACCCATCCCGATTACCCCAGTCACTGAATCCACCTCATAGGGGACCTTCCCCTTCCGTGCTGTCCCTCCACCCTAACAAGCATGATGGCCCTCTCCAAGGACCTGTCCCTCCTTGCAACATGTCCGAAGTATGTAAGACAGAGCCTCACAATCCTTGCCTCCATGGAGCAGCCTGGTTTGACCCTCTCCAGGATGAATCTGTTTGTTTTCCTAGCAGTCCACGGTACCCTCAATACTCTTCTCCAGCATCACAGCTCAAAGGCATCAATTCTCCTTCTCTCCTCCTTAGTCATTGTCCAGCTCTCTGATGCATAACAAGTGATAGCAAACCAAAGAGACACCATTGCTCTCAGTACTTTGGAGAGGTCCCTAACAGCAGACTTTCCCATGGCAATACGTCTTCTAATTTCCTTGCTGCTGGTGCCGAGAGTGTTGACTGTGGAGCCAAGCAAACTGAAGCTGTGGACAATCTCAATCTCTTCACCATCCATCCTGATGCTGCCAATTGGCCCAGTGGTGAGAATCTTTGTCTTCTTGACATTGAGCCTCAATCCGTATTGGAGGCTGCACTCCTTGACCTCTGCAGCAAGCACTTCAGGTCTTCCTCAGTTTCAGCAAGCAGGGTTGTATCATCTGCATAGTGCAGATTGTTGATAGATCTTCCACCAACCTTGACCCCACATTTCTCCTCATAAAGCCCAGCCTCCCAGGAACTGAAGAACAAATTCCAACCTCAAGTTGCTATAAGCAAGGATGCTTTAGGCAGAATATTAAATGATCTAAGAAGTATTATAAGAAGATGGAAAGAATATACTGAGTCACTGTATCTAAAAGAATTGGCATACATAGAAGAATTTAATGAAACAACATATGAGCAAGAGCCTATGGTGATGAAGGAAGAAGTTCAAGCTGCTTTGAAGGAAATAGCAAAAAATAAGGCCCCAGGAACAGATGGTATACCAATTGGCATATTTCAGCTAACAGATGTTGCCCTGGACATGCTCACCAAGTTGTGCCAAGAAATCTGGAGAACAACCACCTGGCCAACTGACTTGAAGAGATCTATATTTGTTCCCATCCCAAAGAAGGGTAACACAACAGTGTGGAAACTACAGAACAATATCATTAATTTCACATGCAAGCAAGATTCTACTGAAGATTATCCAAAAATGACTGGAACGACACATCAGCAGAGAACTGCCAGAAGCCCAGGCTGGGTTTAGAAGGGGTCGTGGTACTAGGGATATTGTACCTAATGTTAGATTGATCTTAGCTGAAAGCAGGGAATACCAGAGGAATGTATATCTTTGTTTCATTGACTATGCAAAGGTGTTTGACTGTGTGGATCATAACAAACTATGGCTGACTCTAAGAAGAATGGGAATACCAGAACACTTGATCATGCTAATGAGAAACCTATACTTGGACCAAGAGAACAGAGCAAGGAAACACTGCATGGTTCAAAATTGGGAAGGGCATACGCCAGCGATGTGTCCTGTCTCCATACCTTTTCAATTGTAATTTAGGCAAATGATATGCTTCTATCACTTTAGTAGAGCTAAAATCTTTAACCTCTGGATAGTCAGATGTCTTTTTAAAGATATATTCTTTAAACTTACATTCATGGTTAAAAAAAAAATGTTGAAAAAGTATACCTTACTACTATTAATTCCTCCAAAGAAAAATTATTAGAGTGCCCTATTGACTTAAAAGTGGGTATAATCACTTACTGAAGACTCTTAGAAAAATACATTAAAAATGCTGAACTTGTATATTTTATTCACATATATTCATTTATAATTCACATACAGTCATAGGTATTGCATCTACAGCTAACCTTTATTATTTCATTTTTTTTAATTACTGTAGATCATACCTCACTCCTGTTAGGGATGAAGAGTCTGAATCCCAAAGAAAAGCAAGATCTAGACAAGCAAGACAGTCTAGAAGATCAACACAGGTATATTTAATATGTGAAGTACATAAATTTTCTTTTTATATGCTGATGTTGTATGTTAGTGTTACAATGTGAGCAAATATTGAAGGATAAACAGCTTGCTTTAGTAGTCTTTCTGTCATCTTTTGTATCTAGCAGCATAGTTGCACTTCGATTATTTTCTTTAATCATCAACTATATGCCTCTGTCTATTTTTCATATCCACATTTTTTGTGAGTGTAAATTAATTAACTGTGCATGGTGCCCAATGATTATTAGAGTTGTGGGTAATTGGAGGTGAACAAGGGATAATGAGTAATAGGCTGCTTTTTATATTAGTACAACAAACAGCTAATCTGCAAGTATGAGGAAAATGTTACTCAAGTTACTTACTATGCCTTTATCTCCTCCTTGCCATTCTAATTATGATTTCTGTTATCTACATTTTTACCTTCGTATAGTTAAAGAACTTTATAGTAGACCAGTCTTCTGTTTGAATCATTTTTTAGTTTTAAAGCTGGCCTATTTGTAGCTACCTTCATATTCTATTTTTCTTCTTTGTTCCTTTTACTTCTTGAGATCTAACCTATAATTTAGGACATGCCCATCAAAAATTAATTATTTAATGAATTGTCTCTGTAGACTCTTAACAATTATTTTATGTATATAAACATAATAGCATTTACTGTATATGTATATAAACATACATATTAAATCATAAATACATTAGGTGTTCTTTCTCTCAACTTGAGAACATTATATATTCATTTGATTTTTCTGCCAGCTCTCATTCTATTCCTTTTTTAAATGCAGAGGCAGTTTCTTACATGTATTTACTATTCTTGCACATGGTCATATCTCTTAAACTGAATATGACTTGCTGGATAGTCAGTCTGTTTCTCAAAGTGCAAACCAGAATTTGACCTTTCATGAAACTAGCTTTAATTTATGCCATAATTAAATTTGTCTTGTTTGCAGGGGGTAACATTGACTGATCTTCAAGAGGCTGAAAAAACAATAGGAAGAAGTCGTTCTACTCGAAGTAGAGAACAAGAAAATGAAGAAAAAGAGAAAGAGGAAAAAGAAAAACAGGATAAAGAGAAGCAGGAAGAAAAGAAAGAGTCAGAAATACCTAGAGAAGATGAATACAAGCAAAAATACTCCAGAACAACGTATGATGAGGTAAAGGTATACCAATAAGATAACTAGGTCAAATGTTTTCTGGTGAATCTTCATCATAAGATACAGAAGCACACACACCTCCCACCAAACCGTAAACAATACTTGAAACCATTATAGCTTAAATTACTATGACCTAAGTAGAACAGTAAACACTTTTTCTTTATGAATTTAAGTGTCCTATTTGTTTTTAACTATTTAATATTTCAAATGAATTTTTATTTTGATGTGTCACAGACCTACCAGCGTTACAGACCAGTATCAACTCCAAGTTCTACTCCATCTTCTTCACTTTCTACCCTGAGCAGTTCCCTCTACACTTCAAGTCAACAGAACAGACCAAATAGTCTTGTAGGTTTAACCACAACTTACTCCAGAGGATTAACAAAAGGAAACGAAAGAGGTAAGACAACCATATTTTTAAAACATTTGTTTATCAGAAACGGAGACAACATAAACTATGACGACTTCTCCCTAATTAGAGAAATATGATTGATTGTTGACAGTGGAAAAAATTATTGTTGTTGACATGTGCAGTCAAGTCAGAACTGACTCATTCATAGCTCGTAGCTGACTCTCCAGTAGGTTTTCAGAGGCTATAAATTGTACCAGAGGAGATTACCCACCACCTTCCTTTGGATTGGCAGTGTAACTCATGTAAATTGTGACCTTTTAAAAATCTGTTGTTGTTGTTATGTGTCATTGAATCAGAACTGACTCATAGCTGACCCTCCAGTGAGTTTTCGAAGACTGTAAACATGTGGGAGGAGAGTGCTCATCTTTTCCTTAAAGCAGTTAGTAGATTTGAGCTTCCTGCCTTTGGCTTAGCAGCACACTCTTTACCACAGAGCCTCCAGAGCTCCTGAAGTTTTTCATGTCTACTTACCACGAAAGTCAGTGTGAAGGCACTGGTAGGTGATTATTTCTAGCACACTTTGTTAGTTAGTGTAGTACTTTTTATGTGTTTTAAGCTATTTTTTGCCTACTATGTAGATAATGTCTTTTTTCTACGTGTGAAATTATTTTAAATCAAAATTATTTAAAACATGTACTTTTTGTTTAAATGCTTCTTCCCTGAGAACTAGGTTACTTTCTCAGCTACTCAGTAGTGTATGTTGTTGTGTACTGTTAAATTGGAACCCACTCATAGCTGACACTGCAGCAGATAGTAAACTGCCCAGGAGGAGTTTATTGCCTGTTTTTCTCCCTTGAAGCAGCTAGTGAATAAAAAGACGGCTTACTGCGTACTATTAGGTTGGCAGCACAGTTCCTTACCACTGAGCCACCAGAGTTCTCTTAAGTGAGTTTTAAGAGGCAGTAAATCACTTAGGAGAAGACTGCTCATCTTTCTCCCATGGAGCAGCTCATGGATTCGAACCATGTGCTCTTACATTGGCAGTACTGCTCCTTACTAGTAAGTCACCAGAGGTTCCTGAAAATGTTAGTAGAGAGCTACACTAAGAATAGAGCTTTGGAGGCTCAGTGGTAAGGAGAACCTAAAGGTACGCTGTTCAAATCCACCAGCTGCTCCAAAGAAGCAGTCCCCTCCTACCTAGAGAACTCAAGTTAGGACATGAAGGCACAGGGCCATGAGCATCTCTGAAGGCACTAGAGGGTATGAGAATAGCACAGTCCCTCACTGCCCCAGAGCAGAAAGCAAATAAAGAGCCCATTACCCAGCCCCATGGTGTCTCTAGAGCCATGGGTGCACTAAGCAGTCTTTTTATTCATTGTTGACTCACAGACTCAGAATCGTTGTACCAAAAATGGGGATTATTAGGGAAGGAAGTTGGAGAGTGTTGGGGCAAGAATATCACCCATTGCAAATTCAGGTTTTAGTCCAGAAGTCCCAAGGCACAATTCCTCAGTTAGTTCAGGCTCTAGTTTCAATTCAACAACACAAATTCAAGAAGCCTCTATTCTCTTTAGTCATCCAGCAATGTTTGCCTCAGAGCTTCCCTTTCAAGCATCCAGCAGGAACAGCCAAACTTTTAACTGTGGCCAGCACAAATGCAAGAAGCCTCAGGTTGCCACAGTCTCCCTCAAGTATTGCTGCCCACAAGTCCAAACTCCTCAGTGTGGGAAGCAGTCTTTCACTTAACCTAGCCCCACAGCTCTTGATGATATGCAAGACCATGTGTCTGTAGTTAAGGTAGTGTGATACCAAAGGAGGGCTAAGCTAATGGCTAAAAAAGCCAACTTTAAGCTAGCATCTCATTTCCTGTGTGATTTAGTGCCTTTAAAAAAACTAGTTGGAGGGTCAGCTGTGGGTTAGTCCTGACTCATTGGTACTCAGCAACAACAAAATCCACCAAAGAGTGAACTACAAGTCAGTTCCAGCTCACTGGTACATATCAACAACACTCCATATAAAAGTTACAAATATTCATATAATCCACACGTTTGGCTACTTTTTGGTAATTTGGAAGATTGGCAACACTGGATCTAAATTCTTACTGTTTGGTGATTAGCTGGAATAAAGTAGTAGCAGCCCCACATCATTTGGAATAGAACCATTTTTTGCTGTTACAACCATTTATGTTAGCTATATGAACACAAGAGACATTATAGATCTCTGCTATAAATTAATATAAAAATAATGCCTCTTCTACTATAATTTGGGTTTTCTTGTGCTGTGACTCTTTGTTAAGTAATTCCAAAAAGAATTTTTAAACCTTTTATTCCTGTGGACACCTACCTTTTATTTTAGCATATTCAAGTCATTAATATTTATCTAGAGCGCTCTCTTCTCTTAGTGGTAAGTAGTTGTGCTGCCAACCGAAAAGTACACAGTTCAGATGTACCAAATGCTCCACAGGAATAAGATGGGCAGTCAACTCCAGTGAAATTACAGCCTATGAAAACCTGCTAGAGAGTCAGCTGTGAGTCAGGTCTCAACTCCATGATACACAGCAACAACAGTACTTATCTAGTATACAAACCTTTATCCATTTTAACTGCCTCAGGATAGTAACAAAAATTTTAAAATTAACCTTTTTATAGACTGATTTGTCTACAAGGATTTGCACTTTCACAGTCATAAAAATTAATAGTTTTTTGCTGAGCTGCAGCTAATAAGTAGAAGCAGAAACTGTTTCTTTTGTATGATGCCTCCTAGCTATTCTGTCACTGTTAACTAATTTTTGAGCATTACTATGAGTATAGTAACACTTTCACAATCAGACTAATAATCATGAGACCTCATCCTCCCCCTGTCATTGTGTGCTTTACAAATACAGTTATTAAGCAGGTCTTTTCTGTGCTGGATATGGGATAATGAAGATAATTAGTTGTTATCTTCCTCCTCAAGAATATTCTAATGGAAAATATAGATACAAATAGTTTGTATGACAAAGAACGTTTCTAACAGCACAGTAAGAGAAATAAAAATAAATTTTGATTAGAGGATTTGAGTACCCTTCTTAGAGGAGGTTGACTGAAAACTGTTTAAATTTACTTTGTAAAACTGTTTCAAAATAAAACACTATCATGTGGCTAATGTAATCTTTTACAGAAGGAGAAAAAAGAGAAGAGGAAAAAGAAGGAGAAGATAAACCTAAATCAATCAGAGAACGACGACGGCCAAGAGAGAAAAGAAGATCGACTGGAGTTTCATTTTGGACACAAGATGTGAGAACCTATTAAACTATCACTGCTTATGTTTCCAGACATGTATTCTAGTATCTTCAGTTTTTAAATCATCACTGTAGTTTCTAAATCAATTTATTGAATTAGAAAAATTACTTAAAAGATCATTAACATTATATAGATATTTGATACTGCTTAAAGTTAGGAACTCTCACCCAATTTCATAGCTCCAGCTTAGAGTAATACATTTTCATGATTACTAACCTGCAACTACGTCTTAGAGATTGTTGATAGAGTAGTGCTTTACATTTAATCTCAGTTTCGCAGGTACCATTGTAATATCTTCATAACAGAATTCTTTTTATTTCATCGGAAACAGAATACATGCAGTGCTTTACTTACCAAAGTGCAACATTTAGTTCTATTAAATTTAAAATTTTTTCTGGTCCCTGATTATGTTTCTGACATTGCTGTTCATATGCAGGGAATAAAAGACATTCAGTACTCAGCTACAGAAGGATAAACATAGTCTTATTTTTTTTTCTTTAGCCTCCTGATTTTTTTTACCACTTTACATTTTTAATATAGAAATATTTAGATGTTTAAAAGTAATAGAATGAAAGCCTTAATATTCATCACTTCAGCTAACTTCCAACTCCTATGTTGTTTTGAGGGAAATCTAGAACATATCATTTATTAGGTAAATGTTTCCATATGTGTTTCTAAAAACTAAGAATGCTCTTTTAAAAAGAATTAATATGATACAAATAGTCATAGTATACTGTCTAACTATATCCTGTTACCATATTAATTGTGAATTCATTCACAAGCTCATTTGTACCATTAATGGCTTTTGTTGTGGAAGTTGATGTTTTGTGGTTTGTAGTTTTGATTAGGATACAAATAGCCAAAAATCAAATCCTTTGTTATCAAGTTGATGCCAACTCCTAGTGTCCTCATGTGTTACAGGTTGAATGAACTGTTCCATGTAGTCTTGCCTGTAATCTTTATGGAAGCAGGCCACTAAGACTTGTCTTAAAGTCTGCTTTAATCAGTTTTTCTCCCAGTCAACACCAGGAAAATGAAGGGGAGAAAGAAATACATGGAAACTAAATAAGACCCTGCTTGAACACTCTTGGTAGTAGAAGAATAGAAAAGTGAAATTTTAAAATATCTTTAAACAAATGAAAATGAAAGGACAACCTATTAAAAAAAAAATCTTTGGGACGTAGCAAAAGCAGTGTTCACACTCCACTTTATAGTAATAAATGTACTCATCAAAAAGGAAAAGGAATCAGGGGAGCTCTGGTGGCCTTGTGGCAAGAAGCTGTACTGCAATCCCAAAGGTACACAGTTCAAATCCACCAGATGCTCTGCCGGAGAAGGAGGGACAATTTCCTCCTGTACCAGTCAGATCTGATTTGACAGTAGGTGCACAAAAAAAATAATAAAAAAGGAAAAGGAATCATAATTAACACCATTACTCAGTATCTCCAACAATTAGGAAGTATCAAACAAATTTTATCCTTTAGTTTCCAGAAGAAAGAAAATAATAAAAATTAAATCAGAAATAAATGAAACAAAAACAGTAGGAAGAGTCAACAACAGTAGAAGTTGATTTGTTGAAAGGACTAGTAAGACTATAAAGCCACTGGCAAATCTAATAAAGAAAAACGAGAAGATGTATAAATATAACATGAATAAGAAATTGAATAGTGACATCACATCAAGACCAACTAAAAAAGAATAAGAAAAAGAACACTATGAAGAATTGGCTTCCAACAAATTTGAAAACCTACAGGAAATGAACTAAGTTTTAGAAACACATTATCTACTTTAACATAGACAGAGGTAGAGAAAAGTTGTACTGACCCATCACAAAAGAAATTTGAGAGTCACACATACATACATTCAAAGAAGATCTAGTGATAATTCTACTCAAACTATTTCATACAATCATTCTCATTCAGTATGTTTTATAAAATTAATCACCATTGAACCTTACCCATCATTACCCTGTCTTTTCACGTGGATCTTTCCCATTTCCTTCCCTCCACTCCACACACCAAACCAGTTTTGCCATTACCCATCCCCACTCCTCTGCTCCCACCCCTTTCTCTCTTAGGTTCCCATGCATGTTTTACTAGCTATCCTATTTTTACAATAATGGTATTTGTCCTTATGAGATTAAGTTGGTTCACTCAGCATAATGCTCTCCAGTTTCTGCCAGGTTACACTGTTTTTTAATATATAGAAAGATAGAATGCTCATTAATTTAATCTCTGAAGTAAGCATAACCATCGTATCAATGTCAGATAAGCACATCCTAAAGAAAATCATGTGCCTCTGCGATTGCAGTGTTGCTTCTTAGCACTTGGCCACCAGAGTTCCCTATATATCTGCTAGTAGTTCTATTTATTGTGTACTTAACTGAATCTTCCTATCTTTTGTGCCACTGAGCTGATCATCCTCTTATGACATATTATCATTGGCTTAACCAATCTTACTAAGTGTCTATTGTCTGTTTACCAATCTCACCCCTCTCCCTTCCTTCTCAATGTCTGATAACTAAAAATGATACTGTGTACAAACTTTCCATTAGTTTTTTTATAATAGTGGCCATATACATTTGTCCTTTCGTGAGTGATTTAATTCACTCAGCATTACGGTCTCTAAGATTCATCCATATCACATAGTGCTCTGTGAATTCTCTATTTAGTGCTGAACAGTAATCTACTATGTGTGCCTCTTTTTAAACCAATCATTCACTGATGGATACTTGGTTTGTTACTACTGTTTTGCTAGATTAAATGTATTTCTATCTTTTTTTTTTTTCTATCTTAATTTTTCAAGGAAGCACTAAACTTTTTTCCATGGTGGATGCACCATTTTACATTCCTGGTAGCAGTTTTAAGAGTTCCAATTCCACCCTTGCCAGCAATTTCACCAGCTCCTCCACAGGAAAAAGATGGGCAATCTCCTCCTGAGGACCATATCCATGAGCAAACATAGATTTGACCTATGAAATTTGGGCATTCATATCATATTCTGTAATACATCTAAATATGCAGCAGAGCCAACAGTGGGCAATTCTTTGTAAGTTGCCATGTGGTAAATAAGAGAATGAGTTTCTGGTTCTGGGAACTTGGGACCATAGTCTTGCAGGACATCAAAGTCAACTGGTGTAACATAATCCAGAAAAATAATAGTCTACGTCCTCCTCTTGTGAATCTTAAAAGTTAACAGCCATCCAAGGTGCAAATATTGGTCTCACTTTGCCCAGGAAAGAAAAGCAAAGATGTAATGAAACAATCTGTCCAAAAGACTAATAACTATGTAAACTTTAAAGTCCATTAACTCTGAGACAGAAGAACTACCACCACTTACCACACTGAAAGAGACAGTTCTGATAGAGTGAGGGGAAATGTGGAACCAAACGCAGAAACAGGAGACAAATCAGATTTACTGGTCTAGTGGACACTGATAGAACTTCCAGGTTTCAAGACGAAACTCCCCCCAGTGGCTCAGTTTGCCATACAATGCACAGGTCTATGACACACACCAGATGCCACTCATTCCTTAGAATAATCAACTGTATTAGCTCAAAATAGCAGCATTTAACTATGGATAAAGCCCAGGATGCAAGGAGGCATAGAAAGGATTAATGGAAATGAGAGTTAACAGGAGGAAGTAAGAAAAGGGACATTACCTTGTGTACCTTGGAATTAGGGAGCTCTGGTGGCCTAGTGGCAAGAAGCTAAACTTCAGTCTCGTATTCATGCGGTTCAAATCCACCTCCCATGGGATTAAATGCCTCTGAAAACCCACTGGAGGATCAGATATGGATCGATACCAACTTGATGGTACACCACAACAACATTGTAATTAACATTATACAACAAAATGTGAAAGATTGAATGAAAAACCATTCTACTTTCTTAACTTTCACTCAAATAATGATCTTTTTGAAAAATCAGCCTTGTTTCTCCTCTCATCTCATTTTGTTTTCCCTTGTAATTCTTTTCTAAGAAATAGGGTCATTGCATCCTTAAAGACTTTTAAGATTTTTTAATTTCTTAGTAGACCTTTGATTTTTAGATTTCCTATAAACTGTCATTGGACATACAGGATTGATCATCTTTTTATTCTATACTTTTTGGTATTTTGTTCTTTCACTGGGAAGGAAAAAAAAGAGTCCTGGTGGCATGATATTTAACATGTTGGGCTGCTAACTGAAAAATCAGTAAATCACATCCTCCCGTTGCTCCACGGAGGAAAGGGCAGCGGTCTCCTTGCGTAAAGATTACCTCCCCGGAACCCTTACAGAAGGCTACTGTGATTAGGAATCACCTAAATATGGCTTTGCCCCAAGCAGGACATATCTGTGGTCGATTTAAGTTTTTGTCCAAAAACATATGAACAGCCCTTAAATGAAATAAGACTTAACCAATCCTACTAATGTTACTTAAAATTACCTTCCTAAGAACTCTTGTGTGTTAACAAGTAAATAGGCAAAATTGTATTTATTTACCCATTTTGTTCAGACAACTGTAGTTACTCACCTGAACACAATATGAGGATCATCATTACTGAAATCTGTGTATCATTTGAGCCAGCAGTGAGTTGAGTTCTAACCCACCATCAAAGCCTTCATTATGACATGTTTGAATCCAAATAACATAATAGAAGTAGATATACTTGGGAAGACTTGCTGTTTGCTTTATTTTTTTTTTAATCTGCATTCTTTCAGGAACTCTGAGCTTCCTCAATTTATTATTCTCCCATATTTTTCCCCTCTATTTCTGTGCTCTTCAATGAAATCGCAGTGCATAAAGATAGATCTTTCATGTATGAAATATTAATAATTATTACTGTATTATCATTATTGAAAGCTCTTATCTACTTAATTAATTCATACAGTACCTTTTTGTCAGATAAGAAAATGATATATACATCCTAACATGTAGAATAATAGTGTAAAGTTTTTATCTCTACAGTATAGAAAGGAAACTATGATTTAAAAGTTCAAAACAATTCTCCCTAAGTCACAGCTGAAAATAGCTATACCACCACTATTTGAAACTAGGGTTGGCCATTTTAAACTGCATGATATTTTTATAATGTTCCCAAGACAAGTATATTTAAGTGTAAACTTTTCCTTTAACTTTTTTTGGTTTGATCTTCGAAGCTTTCTAATCACATAGTCCTGTTCTCTGGATTTTATCCTACTGAGCCCTTGATTTTTTTCTCTTGGAGTGCTCTGATTGCATAATTAGTAAGGAGTTGCACTGGTAATCCAAAGGCTATGCGACTCTGGCAGTTTGAATCCACCACTGGCTCCATAGAGGAAAGGTAGGCAGTTTCTTCCCAGAGGCAATTCACAGAAACCTGATGGAGGATCACTGTGTGAGTTTTATTTAGAAACTTCCAAGAAGGGCAACTCACTCATAGTAGGACTGTTGTGGAATTCTTACTAAGTAGCTTATAATAATGTTGTGGTTGTTGACGACTGCTTTCGAATCGAGTGCAACTAATAGCGACTCTATGAACAAAAGACCTAATAATGCCCTTGCATAACTGTCGTCATTTCACCAAGTTCATAGAGTTTCCAGAGGTGTGTAGTTTAGGAAGTGAATGCCACTCCTGCTTCCAAACCTGTATTACAACTGGGAGCTCCACCAAACACTGTCCACACTGGGAAGCCATTCTGTTGTTTGATACCCCAATGGCACAAGGTTCAGCATCACAGCAACCCAGCTTACTTCATATAGCACATTGACAAAGAGCGATGTACAACATGGAAGAGTGCTCCTCCAGATAGAACAGCACTAGTTTCACTTAGCAGTGGTTAAGTGTTGTCAAGTCAGATACGACTGAGAGTAAGTTTTGCACAAAAGGGTTAAGTTTTGCACAAAAGACCTGAACTCTATTCTATGACTGGCATCATTTCTGTATAGAACTCTGTTCTGTAACTTCCATCATTTCTGTACATTTACAGAGTTAAGAGAGTTTGTAGAGTTCCCAGCATAAGTCAATCTAGAAGATCACTGTACACAATGGATAAACATTATGGTATTTGACAAGACTATGGAACAGGGTACACACAGCAACATCAAGTTGTTCAGTTCAGCAAATAAGCAGAAGATTGCTGTCATTTAAGGAATACTCATTCAAAAATTAATAAATTTGGCCCGAGTGCCCTGCGGGGTTTTAAGTCAATGCCTTTGAGCAGACTTACACCCTAGGCAAAAGCTCAAGGACACCCACTCATGAGGGGAAAAGAACTTTAATGCACATCAAAAACAATACACATCAAACACTTTTTTAAATAAAAAACTACATACATAATAT